AGCGGAAGCTTTCGTTGCTCTGAATATAAGGCAGGGGTTAAGGGTGTGTGTCCTGGATCCTGTAGGGATAAAGCGCGTAATTGAAATGGCATTTAAATGTTTCGGATGAACCTCTGTGACGTTGTGCTCCATAAGCGCGGGAATGTCAAGCGAAATTATGGCGGTTGATTAAAGGTGCAGGGGTTCTAGAGAGCTTAGTTTAGTTTTCTGGGTTCAAAGGTCCCTCAAAATGTCTTAAACAAGTTCTGTCTGCTGTTGTATTTTATTATATAAACATTTTTGCAAAGCATGTATAACGAATTTAATTAATTTAATTAAAAGAAAACCTTTTCCAATTTTTCCAAAAAATTTCCATTAGTATTTTTCGTTAGACACTCCTCGAATATAACCCATCAGTTGCCTTCAAATTGAATTTTCTTAATTGCCAACTCGTGTTGCAGTTAACCTTCGGGCTTCATCTGCAGGCATCCGCACCGCAAAACCAATTACAATCTAGTGGCCAAAATTGTGTCGAACTTCCATCTTCAATCTTGGGGGCCACGTGTGGAGCATGGTGACCCTTGGTTTTCCTCGAGACCGCAAACTTTTCGACCCGAAGGGAGCGTGGCAGAGGCAGTAGCTCCATTAGAAAGTTGCCGCCACACATATCAATTACACAAAGTTTTCGTTAGTCGCCGTCGTCCTGCGTGGCCTTTTGGTCCTGCTTCGTCCTGTAATTGCATGGAAAATGGCAACCGCAGCTCCGGAGATACAACAGCATCTGCCAGTTGGCTAGACGGCGTCTTTTGGTGAGTCTCCAAACTTAAATGGAATTTTGCATATCGCTGGACATTGGTGGAGTCATAACTTGACTGACTCGGTGGCACAATACATTTCCGTTTGAGATTTCCATTCCGCTTTCATTTCCTTTGAGTTTTCCTCTTTTGATACTCTGGCAGAGTGTGTCATTATATTTCTATTGCTCATAAAATATATTTTTGAATTTAAACGCTTATATTTATATTAGATAGATAAGCCTCTGGGGATTTTAATTTAAATTTTTACTCTACTTAAGGCTACTTTAATACAAAAACTTTCTTTACAATTCTGAGAACTTCTGAAACATTTGTGTTACACTTAATTTTTTATAGTTCAACATTTCCCTAACATATTTCAGGGTATTTCAAGTCTCCTTTTCATTACCAAACATTCCTTCTTTTCTTGTGCCTTATTTGTTTGACATTTTATTGTTTAAGTAGCGACTACAAATTCGCTTATTGTTATTCCATTCCCTTTTGCGAAAAATATCTTGGCAGAGTTTTATATTTTTTCAACTTTCCTGACTTAAATGCGTAAATATTGTTATGCTTTTGGCAATAAATGCGTCCAAAAAGGCAACAAGCGAAAAATGTAAAAATAAAATGCAATGCAAAAATACAGAGGATAGCGAAAAAGTTTGCTGTTTCTCTTTCCACCTTTTCAGGGTATTATAATTTTAGTCAGAAGCCTGTAATCCTGTGAAGAACTCATTTCCGACCCCATAAATAATATATATACTTGATCAGCATCCAGAGGCAAATTGATTTATGCATGTCTGGGAGAAAAATAAATGTTTTTAAAATTTTTTAAAATTTCAAAAAAGATAAGGGGTTACATCGTTAAAATTTTTAAAAATTTATAAATTGTATGATGAATGAATGAATGAATTTTATAAAATATCAAATTGAGTACGCAAATTTATTAACCTATTAAAAACTAACAGTGGAAAGCTTTCCGAATTACAATTATTGATTTTTTGGCTTAGTTATAATTTTAAAAAATTTTATTAGTCCGAAAAATTGCGAATATTTTAAGTTTAAATTCAATTTCAATTTCATTTCAATTTCAATTAAAGTGCAATTGCAAGGGTATATAAACCTTGTCCTCCCGAAACGAGTTTCATTTCTAGTTTTCTCTATAATTTTTGTTTTGTGCGTGAAAATTAATTTAAGCAGTTAGAATCTCCTCTACCTTTGTAGTTGCTCCTGGATTTTTTCGGATCGCATTTCAAAAGTTGCCATTGAATTGATGTCCCGAGAGGGCGAGAGGTGGTGAAAAATGTTTGAAAACTGTTTTTCGCATATGGGAAAACAACATACAAATAACAAGCAGCAGGGGCAGCAGGGGCAGAATTTGCATAAATTTGATGTAAATCAAAGAAATGTGAGAAAATCTGTGGGGTTGATGGGAAAAAGTTGGTGAACGTTTTGGAAAAACCGTTTAGAAATATGAAACTTTACGATTTTAGTTATGAAATTTGTTAAAATAATTCGGCACCCATAAATTATTTAATACGAGTACGTATACGTGATATCTTATTATAGGTTCAATTATACTGACTTTTTAGAACGGAGAGAATAAGAACAGAAAGCTGTTTATTCAAGAACAAGTATTTCTTTCAACTATCTTGTTAGTCAATTAAATTTTTTTCAATTTGTTAATTATTAATAATTATCCATAAAGATTTCATTAAAATTACGCATAAGTACGTATACGTGATATTTTACTGTACCTTCAATTATACTGACTCTCCAGAACGGAGAGAATGATAACGGTAAGCCGTTTATTCAATAACAAGTAATTCTATTAACTATCTAATTAGTCAATTACGTTTATTCAATTTATTTAATATCAATTCAATAAAATTACGCATACGTACGTATACGTGATATTTCACTTTAGGTTGAATTATAATCTCCTCTTGCACTGCACTGCTTATAATTAGAACGGAAAGCCTATTATTCCGTAATACATGGTATTAACAAGTTAAGTAGGGAAACCGAGATGTCAGGCCTAGTCTTACCTTCGGTGGCAATGTCGTCTTAAGGCGATGCCAAGTTGCACTCAGAAATGCAAGGCGAGGAGGATCTTAAGTATATATACAGGCAGCTTGGAGGACAACAGCGAAATGCATTTACGGCGTAATCCAATCACGGCAATAATGAAATGCTAAGTGCCAGACACACAACCCAGTGCCCTGGGGCGGGCTAAGTGGACCCGATGGGTGCCATATCCAGTTGGAGCCGCGTCCAGCGGCCGGAAGCCGACAACCGACTACCGACAGCCGGCAGAAGGCCAGACAAAACTCCTTTGGACGCAATCTGTGTGCGCCAGTGTGCCGAAAATGCAACAGATCCTGCGGCCAAGGGCGACCAGTTGGGAAAGCCCCCTTTTATTTTTCTCTTTCTGGGTCACGTTTCGTGTTGCTTATTTGCTGGGGGAGTTTTCTTTAGGTCTTTGTGGAGACCGACACTGAGGGAAAAATTAATATCAATAACAGAAAAGTACTTACTAGTTACAGATCTTGAACAAATTTACAGTTTATGGAAATGTATGATATAAAATTAAGAAAATTATAGTAGATTTTTAATTTCTCTTTGGTTATTTTGCCAGTGTAGTTAACAATGATTTTTAATAGTCCACGTTCCAGATTGCTAGCCATAGCTGCTGCTTTCCAATCGTTTTGGCCGTCTTTCCTTTCGCTGTTAACGCCAATGACAATGAGGCTTCTCTGTCCATTTTAACCAGGCTTTTCAGCTGCCCCTGACATTGACATCCACATCCTTGTTGGGGATCCAGATTGCTTTACCCCTTGGAATCGATTTGTGGTAATGAAGGGAAGGAGGGGTTTTAGTGGAACTTCAAAGAGTTACCTGGAAACCACAATTTCCGCAGTTATAATTCAATTGCCCTGCAGGTGACCGCAGATACATATGTGATGGACAGGTTCCACTCGAAACACACAAAACTAATTAACTAATTAAAATCGAGTTTAAAAACTGACACATTTTACCACATAAATCTAATGCATTTGACTTTAAGCTTGCTTTTTGCTATAAACAAAATAAATATAAAAGTAGAAACCCCAGCTGAGGACCATCAAAGGCCAGAAGCGCGAGGGCGAGGGTCTTTTCAGAAGTCAAGAGTAATAATGATACACAGATGCCAAGGAGGAAAGTAAAATAAACCAAAACCAAACACGGAAAATTCTCACAAATTTGCACTCGAAAAAGTTGCTAAGCTGTCGTTTCGTTTTTCTACCATCCATCGCCCGCCCCGGCTTACGCAAATCCCCCAACAAACAGCTCAAAGCTCAAACGTTGCTGCCATTTATTTATTTTTTCCTTTCAATGAATTGCTTTTCCCCATATTTGAGTTAACACTCCTTTCACAGCTCACCTTTCTCGGCTGCAATCTGCAGGTATATATGTTTTTATGTATGTATTTGAGGAAACCATTCCGAAACCAGACCGGCAACAACTCTTTATGCTGGGGCGCTGAAACGCATAAATCAATGGGGGTGGCCCGAAGGCAAGACTGAGTAAGCCGGGAAAGTGGCAGAAAGCCAAGTTTCTAAAACTTGATTTAATGCCGGTGCAGTAAGCAGAATACAATATATTGGCAGGTTGTTCTCCAAAGTGCGCTGGCTTAAAAGCTCTTAACTCGACTTCAGTTCAATCGTATCCAAATAAATCAACAACAGCGGGCACCAGCGGCAAGGGCATCGCCGAAAATACTCCCGAGGCTCACAAACAGTTTCAGATTTGTTCACTGACAAATGAATCCTGGGGTAAGAAGTTGTCAAGTTCTGCAGGATTTTTAAGAGTACAATTTGTGGGGAGATTTAGTGAAAGGATTCAATGATTTCAAGGACTATCTGTTCAGGGATATGCTTTAGGTTATCTTGTTTAGGGAGTTGTGGCAGCATTTAGAGACTTTTGTATTCACTACCTTTAAATGTTGAAGCTCTCAACATTTTACTTCTTATTTCTTGAAAACATGAGATGTAGGGTTTTTGGATAATTTATTCTTACCTTACACCTATTGATATATGAATATAATAACCTTCAACAAAGTATTTCTCCAAATATTTATATTTTTTACAAACATTGCTTCTTTATTGACACACTTTCAAGCACATTTACATAATTTAACTCAATTGCTTAGCCTAGAATACAGAATATTCAGCTCATTCCATGAGATACTGTTTTTGTCAAACATATATTCATTTATTTTAAACCGCCAAAAATAATAGCAAAATGTTAACATCCACCTTCATCCAGTCACACATTTGAATAATTTATTTGTTAGCTTTTCTGGGTTACAGAGCGACTTGTAAGTTAAGAAAAGATTAATTAAAATGTTCCATATCCCTCCTCCATTGCATCCTTTTTCAATTAAAACTCAGCCTGTAAATACCGCAGACTTTTTATTATAGTTGCATTGACTCATCTGCCGGTTGCCCTCGTAAAAAGTTTTTTATTTGCCATTTTCCAAGTGCCTTGGCTGACTCCGTGTTGGCTCTGGCTAAGCTGCTTATATTGCGCAATTCCGTCTTATTCGTTTTTAATTGCATAATTCAGTTAAACTACCTAATTGGTTAATTATGAAATCAGAAAATGCGGGAGAGAAAGGCTTCTTAAATTTAAACAGGTTAGCAGGATAAAAGGGGGAGTCATCATTATTTCATATTTTATGTAATAGTAAAGAGTTTAAGGTTTAAGGGTATGGGTTTTATTGGCAGTAAAATATACAAACTAAAAGTTGAATATTCTAAGAACTTAGTACATATACAAGATCTTTATTCTAACTTTAGTTTCGTTTATCAATGTTATTATTATTACTTGTTAGATATTGCTAATATATATCGTTGTGCGGTCTAGAATTCACAAAGAGCTTTTGATTAAATCAAATTTGAAATCTTTTAGATATAGACACATATTAATACTGCTTAGTCTCAAATGTTTTTAGGTAGAAAAAGATTAAAACATAGTTTAAATGCCTTGCCTTAGAGCTACTTGCTTCGTTCCCTTCCATATTTCATTTGAATTTATTACTTTAAAAACTCCTACTTAAACTGGGTTACAAATCTGTTTGCTGCACTGCCCCCGATCCCCTCCTGGCGGTGGTGCAAAAGGCCTCCTGCTGCTCACTCAGACAGATAATCAAATTTTCTGGAGGAGCTGACGCTTTCCCATTGGAATTGCAGGACTTTTGTGTCCCCGTGGTACCGGTCTTCTCCGCCGTCGTTGTGGACGACGTCGTGGTCGATGAGTTGTTGTTACCCGCATTCAAAGGCAGGAGCAGCGGTGGCATCTGCGGATTGGTGGTCAGCAGACGCTTGGATCCACCTCTCCTCCGACTGCCCTGCTTGGTAAACACGCTCGGTTCCATCTGCAGCTGGGCATTGATCTCCTGCTGATTCATACAGGTGAAGGCCTTGAAGAAACTCTTTCGAAAGTTCTCACTCAGAAAGGCATAGAGTATGGGATTCACCGCCGAATTGGAGTAAACCAAGGCGCCGAGGAGTAAGAATATAAGTATCTCCAGCCGTGAGAGATCCCTCTGGGCGGGATTAGAGTTGATCAGCGCCAGCTGGGACATCCAGTGGGGCAGCCAGCAGCAAATGTAGACTGTAATCACAGTCAAGACCAGTCGGGTAACCTTTCGATGAGCCCTTCGCTTCTCCTTCGACTTGGCTGCCTGCTTGGGGCCCACCGACTGCAGTTTCCTTATAACCAAATAATAGAAACTCAAGATGAAGCACAGTGGAGTGGCAAAGCCTAGGAAGAAAGTATAGAGTATAAATGTGGTTCCCGAGTGCTTCTTGTACGCATCCGGCCACATAATGTTGCAGGAGTAATTGATGCCATCCTCCTGCTCCACTGTACTGGCATACAGGATCACCGGCAGCATCAGGACCGCCGATGTAGTCCAGGCCACCGCCGACACTATCTTTGCTATGTGAAGAGTTCGATAACGCGGCGAAGAGATGGGATGACACACGGCTATATAGCGATCCGCTGACATGATTAGCAGGAAGATCGAAGAGGTGAACGATGTAATCGAAGTGCTCACCATATAGGCCTTGCACATAAACTCCCCGAAACGCCAGCTGCAAATCCTCATGGTGTACAGCAGAAATGGTATTCCTATGAGGAAGCACTCATCGGCCACTGCCAGATTCAGGATATATATATTCGTCACAGTTTGCATTTTGGAGAAACGTAGAACCACATAGATCACCAAAGTGTTTCCAAACAATCCAATAATGCACACGAGGCTATAGAGCACCAGAGTGAATAGATCCGCCACGGAATTCCTTGTGGCTATGCAATGCTGATACGTTGGCAATTCGGTGCCATAGACAGGCTCCTCTGGCTGAATTGTGGAGCCACCATTGCCACTCATCCATCTATGGCTGTGCTCCGTGGTGTACATGCTCTCACTGGTATTATACCAATTTGTGGTATTTAAATAGGAGTCCGGTGTTACATCCCCACTAACGAACTGGAGAACGCCCATCAACAGCCAGGTAAACATTCTGTTGCCTTCGTGTTCTCTGCTGAACATATAATTATTTTAATCAGTTTCCCGCCGCTGGCTCCCTTCTCTCGTTATGGTTTCGCACATTTTGCTGGTGGTCCTGAAATATAAATTTCATTATCACATAAAATGTATTCAAAGGTGTTTGCTTTGTTTGTATAATAAGGCTAAATATTAAAATTGCAGCATGCATATTTTGGTATTTAAAATTGATTGGCTTCTAATTAAAATGTATTTGGAAGAGCGTGAAAATGTTGCTAAATTAAAATGATTATATATAAACCAGTGGTTAATTTTGTTTGGTCAATTGAGTTTTCTCTAATTAGAGTTTTAATTTCCGTTCTAAATTTATAGGGAATTAATAATGGGAATATTTAAAGCATCGTTCTTTATAATTATTTTGGTAAACAGCTTTAAATGACACTTGGTGAGAAATTATTGAACTCGTACTTTGACTCTGACAAATCGTATGTTTCCCAATTGAAACTCAAAACTCTGCAGGCTTCACATTCAGACTCTTGCCGAAGTTTCTTAAAAACTTTTACTGCCATTTTCTGGGTACTGTAAACTTTCTCCGAACAACTTGTAGAACATCTTATTTCGATGGAAAAATATATATAAATTATGACATAAATCATCTGTTTACTGTTTGCCCAATTCATTTGCACACAGTAAAAGTTCATGATTTATGATAAGTCAGTTACGCTAAATTTGATTTGTTAGGCGTTGCAAATTAACATTTAAATTGAAATTAAATTGCGCACAATTTGTCAAATCAAACAAAACAAGTACAAGTATGCAAACAACTCTCTAATATTTTCATGTCCCTCACAGAGCACACTCCACACTTGGTCTAAATAAATAAATAAATAAGGCATAAGGAAAAGGCTGGGTGGTACTTATGCAAATATCAGGTGAAAATATTTGCTCATTAAAATTCCCCCCCCGGACTATGTCGTAGGTCATTGCCCAATTCTTGACCTCTAAGGACACGACAATAGACTCTCTCCATGTCCTTATTAAAGCCGCTTAGTGTTTCAATGCGTTCAGGCAAAGACATGGGGGGATTAGAGCTCATATTAACTTCCATCAGAATGTCTTTGTCTTCGTTTAGCTAAATTAAAATGGCTTTGCATATTAGTCAGTTAATTCCGAAGCCATAAATCAACATTTAGCTTGGGCATTTCTGACAGGACTTAGGCAGACTAATTTCGGTGGAAAGGCTTGGAATTTGATTTGGGAAATTCATAAAATTAATGTTTAAGATGAGTGTAGATAAGAAATTTCACAGCTTTGTGAATTTGTCGTTTAAAAAGCTTATATTTATTTAAAATATTTTTGTATTGCATAGTTAAAGTGTTTATTAATTATATAATTTTCTCAGCTAAAAATAATATTAAATATAAATCTGAGGCTGAAGAAAGTGAATTCAAGAAAGCTTGTGCTCTGGCTTGGGTTGAAATAAATTTGTTGGTCTTTAGGCTGTTAAATTAAATTATATTACACTTTCCATTTTATGTTGGATAATATATTCCATGCAATCTTCATTTTCTCTGTATTTGCTTGGTCATTACACTTGCCTCTACCCTTGTGTTTGAACAACAAGATATGCAATTCAAATTGATAGCCCACAGAGTCTTGGGTCTTCTTAACACTATAAGGCTATGTCACTTTAATTTCCTCAATATTTGTTCCCAAAAGTAATATTTGTTCCCAAAAGCAATATTTGTTTCTAAAACATGAACTTGTAGACTGAATATCGTTGATGATAATCTGTTCAAGTGAGCTGGGTTTTCGTTTTGTAATTAATCAAGGATATGCTAGTCGAAGACCAAATGCTTTTATGTAATATTATTCGTCATGTATTAACTGATATTTATAGATTGTTGAATCCCTTCTTTTAAATATTAAATTATAGAACTCATTTCATTTGTGAAAAAATGAAAAGTTCAATTACTATTGGAACTGACTAAAAGCAAATCCTGTATTCAATATCGTTTATCCCCTAGAACTCCTATATATTATCCACATATCTTCCTTTCACCATGGGTATGCTTTTATTCCACATTTTACCCTCGTGTCACGTGCCGTTGTTTGTTTGATCAAGGAATTAAATCCCAGACCAGCGACAGGTGTAAATCCCCACCGGCAATTTCGCCCCAGTGCTATCATCATCGTTGGCTCCTGGATTGTTGTTCGACATTTATTGTTGCTGTTGCTGTCGTTTTGGCTTTTATTGTTGCTCCGAGTGCAACTGTTATCGGCAAACCGCAATGGAGGCACAAATTGCAAGATTGCCTCGGTTGCAGTGGGGTGCCAGAGACCCCACAAACCCCCCTTCAAAAAATGTACAAAAAGGGGCAAAAAAGGAGGGAGGAGACACACTTACATGTGCTGCAGTTGTGTATCTGCACAATTCACTTGATGACAGGCAGCAGACGGCTGAGACCATTTCAAGGAAAGCTGCTGACTTAGTTTTCTTCGGGGAAAAGAGAAAAGTGAGAAGAGGAAAAACATGCAGGACTTGTATACTTGAAGAAAAAATGTAACCGGATTTTAGAAATATATTAGAAAATAATTTCTATACGTAATACATGAAAATTAGTATAATTACAAAATATGCAACTATTAAATATTTGTATAACTTCGCAGGTTATTGTATGTTATGTCAGAAGCTTGATTAAGCTTTGATTTGTCGAAAAACACATACGATAATATAGATAAAAGTTACATTTTTATTAATAAAAGCAATTTCGAAATGTATAGATATCATAGAAATACGAATAATTCATGTTAAGTTGTAATCGATTTCCAGTTAAATCCTAAAATTTAATTGCAAACTGCAAGGATATATAAACTTTTACTTGCCAAAGACAGTTTCCTTCTTCTTTATAATGAATTTATTCAACAAAATAATGTTTAAATTTGTAACAATGTTTTCATGAGTGTACATTGCATTTTGAGGTCTCAGCTGAGCGGAGGGATATGGGGCACCCAAAGGAAGGTGACGAAGCCATCATCTGCTCATCGCTCCCTTGACCACATTTTGTCAGCTCTCTCTCTATGTGTCTCCCCACATCCCTTCCTGTGTTGTGTCCTGTGTGTGCGCTGCGGCATTTATTAAAAATTTATGCACTTTATGGGACCCTCAAGACAAGGGTCTCCAATGCATTTTGTTCGCAGCTTTCGTTGATGGACTTGCGTTGTGACGAAAGGCTATAAAAATCAGCATTTTTAGCTTAGGAAGCTTACTTAGTTGCAGAGTTAAAGCATAAAAGAGTGTTACTATTGGATTTTGGCAAATATTTAAAAATAAAGTCTAGCAAATAAAGAAAGTGTTTAAATATTTACTTAATACCAGTCAAATCCTATTTATATTTTGTATTCTTTATTACTTAAATACTGGATAATAAAGTATGCATATATCACTCCATCTTCATCCTATAATTTTCATTATAATTGCCACTTAATGTTCAAAATTTTCATAATTCATCCGAACAAAGCTCAATGTTTTCGAATTTGCGCTTAATTAATTAAAACTTTATCAAAAGTATACACAAACCGCACTCGCTGAAAATGGTCCGAGTGTTTGTGCCTGGCGTGTCTAGATTATGTTACCAAAAATATACAGTTAGTATGCTGTGGAATATATATGGCTTAAAGGGGCAAACAACGGGCTTCAACGGGGCAAAAGGATGAAGAAGGCATCAGGCAGAAGGAGTCGTCGCCTGGCTGGCAACAGCTTGGCAAATGTTTAGCCGCTCGCTTTGGTTTTGTAGTAGCAACAACAAACACGACGCAAGTAATTCATGGGCGGCGAGCTGAATAAGTGGTTGGAGAAGGAGAAGGGGGCAGAAAGTTAGACGACCCAGAGGCATGCGAGGAGCATAATTTTTGGGATAAACACCAAGAACAACATGCATACAAGCTGTTTCTAAACACATGATGGCACTGTTCAAAAATATGTTTTTAAATTTATTTTAAATTAAATTATGAACTGATAATAGCAATATTTATGTATAAACATATTTTATCTTGGTTCCATAGTGTATACTAAGTATAAATTCATTAGAATATTGATGCTATCAAAGCAATAGAAATACCAATAATTCATGTTAAGTTATAATCGATTTACGATACGATCCTATACTACTTTTTGTTTATAGAACTCAAAATGTATGTGACTTAAGTATTTTATTTTTTATGTTCACAGAAACACCAATATCTCGGATACTATTAATGATAGAGCTGCAAAAATTGGACACAAATATTCCTCACATCTGGATGCAGATTAAGGTAGGATCTGAAGCAAAAATTGCATATTTATATCTCTTCAAATACTGAGTGGGTTTTCAACTTTTTCTTTTTCCCCCTATATAACTCTCCTTCTTGTTGATATATTTCCCTCAGTGTACAAATACAAGCCTGCATGTATATGTATGCAAATATGACTAGCAAATTTGCATGTATACACAACACAAACAAAACAAACTCACACACAGCCGCATGTCAAGTGCACTTTGGGTGTGGATGTGTGGGGTAGAGGCATAGGCCCTTGTTTTAGGATTGCGCTGAGATGGGTCCTTTAGTTTATGGACCCAGCAGCAGCAGCACCGAGTGTAGAGTGCAACATAAACAATACTCACTCACCTCAGTGGCCACTAACTCTGGCCCCTAATATCGTTCCACTAAAATCCCACCCACCCCTCAGCTCACTTACACGATAACTCGCTTTTGCACTGGCAACGCACTTAATCTTTGGGACACATTTTTGGCTTTTGGCCACAGGTTGCCACTCCACCTGACCTTTTGGCACCGAATGAAAGCTCACACTAAAACAGGTGTTGCATAACAAACATAACACATATACATATGCATAGCAGGAGCTGCAACAAAACACAAAAACGCCGGAAACCGGACAACAACAAGTGCAATTATAATCCCGGCGGCTTTTGTTTTGGAAACTCTTGGCTGATGTTGTTGTTACACCTGTTGGTTTTCGTTTGAGTAGCACCCACTAGAAAATGCACAACAAAAAATGTTAACATAATCGTCCTTTGTTACATTTTTTATGTACTACAAGTGGGAGTGTGTGTTTGTGTTTTTTGAGCACTTTCCCTAATCCCATATTGTGTAGTATACGATTCTTTAATTCTGAAATTCGTTGGGTAAAGTACTTACACATGTGAGATTATATATTCTTGGATATATTCATTAGCTTTGAGGGTATTTATGGCTTCTATTCTTTCAAGTTAGTTTACCTTGAGGATGCTCATACTAATTGCTGCCATAAGTAACCATTTCCAGCCATTTCATTGACTCTTCTCCGACTGATTCTCCTTTTGTGGTCAATTGTGTGTCCCCTTTTGCATCCGGGATAAAAACCACCTGAATGCGGTTGGATGTGGCTCACACTTTGGCCGGAGCTCAATTATGCCGGGTGTTCATTGTTAACCCATTCAGGGAAATAATGCCTGTCCTCGTCCATCGGGACTTCATCTCCTCCTCCTCCGTTGGGTATCTTTTTATTTATGGGAACGCTACATGGCCCTCCTGGACAGACGCTCTATTTGCTCTATTCCCTTCATTTGTCAGGGGAGGGAAGGAGGAAGCACTGTGGCGGCTCCCTCACAGCACATACACATATTTACACCTGTGGATGGGGCAGAATCCAGGTGGGCTTTGCCTTTGATGTGGTCCCCTGTTGTTGTTTCACCCAGCTCCTGTTCCTCTTACCGTGTGCCTTTGGTTTTTGTGGTCTCAACTGCAGGCGGCTTGCCAAAAACTGAAATCTGCCATCGCTTTTCCACTCTGTTTCCCCATTTCCCCATTTCCACTTGCCACTGACTGCCCCCTTCAACCATCGATTCCATGTAGCTTTGTTCATTGTTCTGTTCTGCTGCTGCCACACCCTCAACTCTATAGCTTTTCCGATTTCGTTCCGATTTTTTCCGCTGCTGATTTTTTTTTTTTTTTCTGTTGCCGCCTTTCGATTCAATGGAGCTTTGAAAAATGTTTGTCAATTGCATGCTAAACGTTTTTCGTTTTTACTGATTTGTTACAGGATATACGAGGGAGTCCGCAGTGTTGTGAAAATATTTACAGGATGTCATGCAATCTGTTAACAACTTAAAGATTTGCAAAAGGAATTTGATACCTATTTTTTATAGGATTTAAAGTTCTTTAATTTTGTGATACAATTTTTAATTTGAAACGTCTTTTTCTTGCCTGTAATCTTATCAGCACACATGGCCCTTAAACCCTCTTTAGAAAATTGTATCAAAATTAATTCGTTTCGTTTCCTTTCGTCATTTCCATGGACACCACTCTTTCCTTAAGCGGTTTACACTTAAGCCTTCTTAATTTGCCTCAAATGTGGGGCACCATACCATAAGAAAAGGGGCAATTCATGGCGAAAATCGGTTTATCAAATATGGGTTTTCATGGGTAATCCATTCGCTAATCCCCTACACAGAGTGCTGTCTGCTGCCCCTCCTGTAAACACTTTAGTTAAAGTTCAGACTACGCTTAACACTTGCCCCAGCCTCTCAAAGTGCAATTTACGGAGCATTCCCGACGCCACCCCAGGACACGCTCTGCAATTTGCATAAATTAACACCAAAATATAGCTGATTCTGTTTCTGATTCGATGTGTTTATTGTCCGCTGGTGGAAGCACTCATTACCCATGTGCTGTCCCCCGTGTGTGTGTGTGGATGCTCTGATAGTTCCGCAGGCAAATTTAACATAATTTTGAAGAGACCATTGACAATAATTGGGCTTTATTCGGAGGGTGTTAGTGTGTGTGGTAGGGATTATGTTGCATATGTTGGGTGGGAGGAGGCTAACGAATCCAGGGCAATGCAACCAGGCACGAAGGATTCACACTAATTGGGCGCCAATCGAAAATCCTTTGTTGCCAATGCGGTGCAGTGCCCTCAGCAGCGTTATGCTGGTTTTTGGAATGGGTAACCACAGGATTTCAGTTTGAAAGCATTTTCAAAACCAGTTTTAGAAAGTGTTTTATTTTTTGTGGAATTATGTTTAGTTGAATTTCTGTAATATATCCTAATAGTATTAGTTTAAAGAATTTAAACTGTTCTATTATTTATTCCTCTTTAGCCTAATCAAATTAAAGTAAAGTTCATGGCATTTTCTCTTCTCCAACCAACTAATCCTAACAATCAACATCATTCATACGCCCTGTTTGCCTTCCAATTGAATATTCCGACTGGAAGAACTCACTTTTTTCCCCGACTATTTACTTTTCACTTGAGAGCGCCAACGGACAGACAGACCGACCTTTGACTTCAATCGAAGCTCTTCTCTCATTTAATCACACAAACTGGCAATGTCATCGTCAGCAAATGCCATTACCTAGGTAAATAATATCAAAGGAGATGATGGCCGGTGCCCAGGGGAAAGGGACTTCTGCAGGCACTTGCCACTTTTGATGTGCCCGACGTGTTGATGGTCGTCAACTCGCTGACCAATGATAAAAATAAATAAATAAATTGACAGAAGGAAATCGGGGGCAAATTGGTGAATCAGTATGAACGAAGAAAACAAATCTAGAAAATGGCAAAAAAGGCAAACGGTCAGTTGACCTTAGTTCTTGTCTAAGCCAGAGTTTATTTTTATTGCTTCTTTCAATATGCAATTAGGAACTTGAATGGCCAATTAATTGTAGTAGTTTTCTCCATTTACTTTTCTTTGTATTTTATATTTAGTTTGCTGATTGTTTATGTGCATTTTTTCCAGCAACAAATGACATTTTCTTGTCAACAATTTCCATGCACTGGGTCAATAATCCTTGTTATTTATCTATTCAATTAGTATGGCAGTAGGTCAATTCTTTATTTGAGACACACACAAGAAAAACAAGAGATATTTTTAATAGCTTCCAACGAATTGCTGTTTTGATTGCAAATTGGTTTCGAATTGATTTGTAGTATCTGTTCTTTCATAAGGGTATAAGGTCATTTTTTGAGGAAGAAGGAATTATTTCTGTTTTCTAGCAGACTTAGTTTATATGGTGTTTTAATTATATCTTATTTTACTTATGCATACATTTTTATTGTTTGACTAACAAACTTATCTGACATTTTAATCTATCTTAAACATTTTCACTTTGTTTTAAGCATTATCTATTATATTCAAGTCTTGGTTAGCCTAGGGTATCACCTAGTCGATTTTTACCTATCAGATCTTTGCCCCCTCTTTCATTTTGTTTACAAAATTTGCCAATTCTGCATTTTAGTGCGTCTTGTTCTGGCTGGCTTTTGTTGTTAATTTTTGCTATTGCTGCCGTTTTCTCCTTTCTCGTTGTTTTGCTCATTTTGCTTGAAATTCTTCTGGCCTTTTGCTCATTGAAGTGTTTTGCAATGTTTTTTTGTAGCCATGGCCAACAGTATTGCCATTGCCTGTGCTTTAGCCGTTGTTGATTCACAATTTTATGCGTTCAATTAACCAGAAGCCATGAAAATAATAAAAATGATGAACTTTTGCCAATTTCAATTGATTGCTTTATAGCCGCCTCGGATTGGGGGAGCAATTTTACACCCAACGGAGCAGCAGCTGAAATGGCCTTAGGCACTGCCACCGTTTTATTAATGTATATATAGTCGATATATCTGGACTCTCGCGTGGTGTTGATTCCCCAATTAACACTAAATCATGCTTCCTATTAATTATATTCGCGATTATGCTAGCGACCAACGTCACTGAGTATATATTCTATCATATCAGCTTTGGATAGAAATCCAATCAATAAGGCCACAGATATTGATAGAGGGATGGGGAGGAGCTGGACTGGTGTCAATGGGCCAATCATTCATTTCGTCATTGCCATCAGCGCCGCTAATTGAATTGCGAAATCGAATCGGATGCGTAACGAAATCGATCGTTGCTGCTGACTCACATGCAAAATGATTACTGTAATGGAGTGAAAACTCTAATCCAGCTTTCCATCTTGATTGATTCGATGACTTTTATTTATTCAGCTACTCAAAATAATTGCATTCGTAGATGGTGATAAAGTAATTGCTTCCATTCAAAAAATGATTACTCAAAATGTAAAGCATTTGAAGTCTATAAAGTATGCAATACCTTCTTCATATATTCAATTATTTCGTTTATATTTATGTTACCAAAAATTATAAAAAACAAGAAGGTAAACTTACTTCGGTAATCAACCATTAGTAAGCTTATAATATTGGTATTCTTAAAATCAATATTTTTTATATGAACATTTTTTTAGACAAATCAAAGTTTAAAAAACTCATAAGC